AAAATTATAAATTAAAATCTTATTTAAATTGTTTAATTAAAAGCAGAGGTTAAAAGTGCAATGTAGGTAAAATTTAGCCGAAGGCGAAGCTGAACATAAAAGTTTTCAGTCTTGTTTTAAACGTGGTCAGAGTTGGGGCAAGTTTTAAATCTTCAGGAAGTTTATTCCAGCTGTTTGTTGCGTAGTAACTAAATGATGCTGCTACATTAGATGGTTCTCATGAATGAATAAGACACCGTCCTTGTGGTCACATCAGTGAAAAAGGTGTGTTTGTTTGTGAATGCACAGGTTGATGATCATTGCAGCATATACCCAAAGAGAGGCTTAATGCAAATATGGTTCATGGGAGACCACCGAGTTTCAGTTGATAGACATTTGTGACAAGCTTTCATTTCAAGGAAGCGATCCTGCCAACACCAACATTCCTACCTCACTCGGTCAATGTTGGTGTCAGGTTTGGTTTGCGTGTCAGAGAAAGGAATTCCTTAGAGCTGTTGTATCGAGGGCATCTGTACCTGGGTGTTTATGTGAACTACATATGAATATGAATGTGCGGGCATAGCCACCAAGGCACTTTCACCAATTTCCTCGTATGTAAAATTGTCACTTAGGTATGAACAAAGTCCAGATCTGAAATTCGTTTGCTTTTAACCACATCTAATTATTTCACTAATTGATCGTATGTTTCAAACCAAATGTGGGATTGGAAACCCTTCTTAAAAATTGCACTCATCCCGTTTGACTCTGTAATTGGAATTTGAGGGTAATTGAATTCATATTCAATTCATATAGCCTTACAATACCACCATTCATTTAAATGTGATAATAATTGTATTGTATAACACTGCAATATCTACATAAGCATCTCAAACTGCAAAATGACTCCAATCATGATCCCTCCCATTAAAGTCATCAATCATCTGGCTGGGGGAGACGTTTTTGCCGTCTTTATGTCAGTATCAGTACGACCCTCAGGTGTCACAGCCTTAACAGCCCTTGTTATTTTACCTAATTCTTTTTTTCTAGGGCAGGTCCATTAATACCTCTGGTAACGCAGTTAAACATGACAGACTTTCCTTTATGTATCTTAGAAGCAGGTCTTCAATTTAGGGCATACGGTGCAGGACGCTTAGCCTGAAATGGTATTTTGCCAATTTATAATGTCCATGACTTCACGCTCCTTTGACACTGGTCATTTGCGTACTTATCTCAATTTAGGAGCATTTGTTGAAATTCTCGTGGAACACTGTATGAAGAAAAGGAAAAAAAAAGCTTTGAGTGTTTGATTAAATGAATAATCTGTATATGAAAATAGAAACTCACATTGAAAGTAATAACCATATTTTTCTGTCTTTTGTGTAGACTACTGTATGTATCTGTTGAAAGGCATTGGTCTGGAAATTTCAGGCTGCGCTCCAATTCATAAAAGGTGAAATGTGATTCAGCAAAGCATTAAACACAGCAAGAAAAATCTTAAACAGTAACAAAATCTGCATGTCACAATGCAAGGGCATTCAAGTTTGAATTATGCAATTTCATATTTCATTTAAAAGCCTTAATTCTACATTTAGCATATTGCCAGCACCTGAGGAAAACTACAGTTTAATCAGACATAGCGGGCTTGACTCTCTCCACAATGCCAAAGGACTTAAAAGGCCTAATTGAAAAATGTTTCTTAGCTCGGCAATTTATTCGTATTCACAAAAATGTCACACACTATTTCACCTACTCTTGTGATTGCTCATCTCTGGGTGTGTGGGATACAGATGAAAGGTGTGGGTGCTGTGGAGGCATAAAGCACATCCAAGCTGATTTGTAGTCAAATTCAGCAGCCTCGACACTGCAGGCCTCTTGTACTTTCTGGTTTGGTTTATATTGTTTTTGGTCTATTTTTATGCAAAAACTGCACAGTATGTGGGGAGAACGGAAGAAAATCATGTATAGGAAGTAAAGCTGATTCTGGTCTGATGTGATTTTGACCTGTTGTCAAAAAATCCACCATGCACACATTGTTTACTTGGCTAAGCCCAATTGTTCTTTGTCCCAATCACCCACAGCCGTCTAATTAAAGTTTCGTATGGAGTCATATCCCATCATTCCAAGAACGCCTAATTCCAACTCATAATAATAAAATAATAAAATCAGGACAGTGGACCCATTTTTTATGGCCTCAATGCTTTAATGTTGATTTGAGAAAAAAAGTTACAGAAGCACAATTTTAATGTCCTCTTTTAATTCACTAAAATATATGAATTGCAGAATCCCATAGAAGTATGTAAAAAGTCTTCTAAATAATTTATTTTTCATTACCATATTCAGAAGTTGAGGTGCAAGAACAAGCCTGCCAACATTTTCATAATAACGCATGTTTCACTTCACTTCAACTGCTCCAAGAAATTGGATGAAAACTTGTAATAAAGTTTGATTGAGTTCTTAAATCACCAAATGAAAAAATTTGGCCGAAACAGCTGTTAAAGACCTGAAAGTCCAAAATGTGTTCTAGCATGACCTTATTAATGAGCAGGGGGAAATGGAGAAAAAACAGCCGTGGTTTTGTGCCAACAATGATAACCAACATGTGACAGTAGGCATGTATGATAGGGAGACGGTGAGCGTAGAATGTGTTGTTGTTTTAAAGTGGTAATAGACCAAACACATCATGGGTAGAACATACAAATACTTCTAATATCTGCAGCCCCCTCCCCCCCGTGGCTCAGCAGACTCATTCCAGAAGCTTCTGGTGTTAACAAGTTCAGGTCTAACCCAGGACATCAGTTGCATGCTCTAATGTGATAATTATCCTTTCTTCTCCTTCAGCAGTGAGATATTAAAGCTGTATTACGTAACAATCCTGCTGAGGGCGGCACTCGTGACAACAGAGGAGATCCTGTCAGGAAGTGAGGATTTAAATCAGTGCATCCCGAAGTGATTATTTAAATTAGTGCATCAATTAGCATGTGTTGCCTAATGAGGAGTCCTGTTGTTATTGGCGACAGCAGACTTACTTGTTGGTAGTGTCAGTGGGAGAGAAATTTGCAAGGGCAAATTAATTGACCCCAAAGCACTTCATTCACACAGTATCATAATTTGCTACCTGCAGATCACTAACGAGATGAAACCAAAAAGATCAGATAGTTTGGACAAACCACTCCTCATGTTGTGACAACTAAATCTGTGCAGTGGAGTTATGTCATTTCTAAGCGTCTAATCCTCAGCAAACTGCAGAGAGCCTTTAATGTTCCCTGCTTTTATGCTCTATAATTCTCAATGTTTGTCAGTGTTAACAGTCATTCAAAACAAACATTTCCGAAGCGACTGTCCATAATAAGCCTTTATTCCACTTCCAGTTTCAAGGATTACTGACACATCAGTCTTGAACCAAACTCAAAAGAAGTTTCACAGCATTAAAAAAACATAAAGGGTACGAGTTTATCGTCATTTCTACACCACATCACTCTTCATTTGCATGAAGGAAAACTGCTCAGCGGAGATGTTCCTGCCATAAAACAAATGACTTCTGGCCACATTGTCTCGTTTTGTTGCTGCTGGTGTGAGTGCACACACACACACACACACACATAGAGCACCAAATTGCTTTCTGTTCATCCCATTAAACATTTTTTTTCTTCCCAGGTTCATTTCAATTGAGCACTAAAGCCGTAGCCACAATTCTAAAGTAATTGCATGTTACAGCCCCAGTGCAAAGAGGAGATTGAGTTATAATACTGTAGTTAAAGAACAGATCGTTTTATCAGCAGTGGTCTTTCTTTCCTTCTGCAAATAGTCATTACATTACGAACAGCCACATCATGTTTTCTATTACCTCTTTTAGTGATGCTACTGTTCTTCTTCTACAGTTAATGTGTACAGTCATTTTGTCATAACATAAAACGGATATACCTTCACTGCAGACCAGGTAGTTCCAGTTGTCACTTTTATATCTGGTGTACACCTCCAATAAAGACGACAAGAAGGAAACAAATCTGTAAATAAAAAAAAAAACTCCCCTCAACCCATGTTGGAAATGTTCACAATGAACATCCAAACAGAACAAACTAGACTTCAGTGCCCCCTGCCAGCACCGTTGTACTCCCAATTAAACCAGTTTCACTTCATTTTACAGCTAATTATCAAACTTAAATCCTCCTTTTATTTTTCTCTGGAGAGGGAGAGGGAAAGACAGAGAGATGAGAAAGAGAGCTTAATCCCACACCGATGGTTGCTAATAAAGTTTGATTATTAATGACAAGGCCCTCTGGGTTTCTAATCGACATTTGTAACAGCCTGGAGACCAGAAGGAAATAGTCACATATCCTCCCTAACAATCCCAATATATTTATATGCACATTATTCTTGTGATTCAATCTTTTTTGACAGAAAAAGGTACAATAGTAGAGTCAATGTTGTGTTGTAGAACACGAACACTTCACAATGGGAAGATAAATAAGGCTTTATTTGTATTCTTTTAAAATGACTACTGCAACATGGGATGAACATTTGCGATTTTTTAACAAAATATTGTCTCTCACTCCTCTATTTTCTGTTCGAAGTATTTGTTTTTGTCCTCCAGGCAGAATAACAAAAGGAAAATTTAATTAAATGCAAAAGTAAGAATGCTTTTTTACAAGTTTTTCTTCTACGTGCCAATGTTAAAGTCCCAGCTGTGTTTTCTTCAGTATGAAGCTTGTTCTGTGCTCCGCTTTGTGTCTTGCTCCGTAGGGTTCTGCACACAAAAGTATTTTCTTCTCTGCTCCTAATGACCACATATTACAATCGGCAGTGATCCCAATACTTGTACTTATATTACACTGGTGACCACATTTTGATACGCAGGGTTTAAGAGTTCAAATTCCTCGGGCATCACTCAATGTAAACGTTTGTGGACTAATGGTTTTGAAAGGAGCTTTAAGTAGAAACATTTACCAGATGGCCCATTTTATGTGCATCAAATGCTCTGAGTAAATCTCACCCGGTGCCCTTCTCGCTCTTATCTTCTGCAGGTTCAGAAATGGTAGAGGCTCAGTGTCAGAGGTTTGAGGTGAGGAGCACAGATGGAGAGAGAGTTCTGTTCTCTGCAGATGAAGACGAGATCACCATCGGCACCGAGAAACTGAGAGTCACAGGTAGGTGGACCCACAAATTGTACTACATATGCACAAAATGGCCAACGTGGTGTTTATACATAAAGTCTTGTTTTTCTATTAAAAGGTAAAGCTGCAGAGTATTTTTTGCTAATTTCATACATGTGCACAAGGATGTGCATGCTTGCATGTTGGTGACGCAAGACACAGTCATTTTACACTCCATCACTGACCAGCAGATATGCAGCAATGTGCCAACAAATGCAGGGAAGATGAAGACGCAAGCAAACATGCATGTTAACAATTCTTCTTCCTTGTTTTGATTTTGTTATCAAGAAGGGAACACATTTGTTAGCACCTAAGTGCCACTAAGCAGCTCTGAATGGATACATATTGTTTGTTTACTTTTAATACGTTCTATAAAAGCGCTTTGATTTAAGGAATTATCCTGCCTCAAATGGCTTTGTAAAGATGAATTGGAAAGGACTTTCATAAGAGAGTGACAAGGTTCTTTTCTCTGCCACCACAATGGTGTACGGAACGTGAATTAATTATGCATCCAGATATCTCACGGAGAGAGCGACATCATCGTGACTTGTCTCTGAATGATAATCAAAAAGCAGGATCAATCATACTAGCATTAAATTGTGCACTGTGGTAAAGCTATAAATACATACACAGTAAACTGTAAAGATCACGTTTTTCAAAAGGTTGCGTTACTTCTCCAAATTCGTGAGGTTTACGAATTCCTGAATGGGTGGATTAACCCATCAGACTAATTTGTATAACAAAGTTACTTTAGGACGCACACGGCTTACACGTTACACAAAGATATATTCCCATAAGAAAAGAATACAAATTCTATATTCTGAATGAACACCTGAGAATTTAAATATGTGCCCGTTACTTTTGCAAACATTTGTCAGCACCTTTTGACATCTACATGAACAACTTCACATCAGCATCCGATGCACTGCTCTTACTTATTAAAAAGCCTGTTTGTGAACAGTACCAACAACATCATCTTTACCTTGCCTGCCTCTCCTCTGCTGTGTGTGTTTGGAGACACCAAAATGTCTACGGCTCAATATCTTTAATCCTCGCTTGGCACTGACTCTGTCGGCTTACGGTAGACGTAGCGAGTTTGTTGCCTTTGGGGATGTTTTCATACTGCGGCGAGACAGGAGCCATAGAACTACACCTGGTAGGGTGTTCAGTCTAACACAAAACTGTAAAGGCAGATGATGGAACCTTTTGAATCAATTTCTAATATCTGCATACCTCACACCCCTTACTTACTGGTGATTTCCCCAACTGAAAAACCCGTGTTTGAAACACTTCATGGGAATCGAAAACGATTGTAAATCTAGAGGTGAAACCTAAAGGAACGCAGTCAGGAGCTACAACAAAACACCCGGCGAGACATTTGACAAAGCGAGAAACATCAGTGTGCAGCGTAGCAATCCGGCAAAGCAACACACAGACCTTTAACTGACAACTTTTCTGTTGTCAACAGAACTGGGAGCTTGTTTTCCTCTTTTCCCTCTGCGGCCAGTGGCACAGGCAGACATTTGTGTAGTGTTCGCTGGGAGTTTGAACTAGTAACAGCTACAGTTACCTCCGAGTTGCGGACCTTTCGATGCACCTTTGATCCGTTGAAATTTCTGCGGTGCGGATGTTCTAACGCCGTTTCTACGGTCTCAGCGGGAGCCCCGACCAGCACTTCCCCCCTCAGCATCTGTTCAGGGCTGCAGGCTAAAGCAGAGGCGCTTGCTGCACACGGGAGGGTCAAACACCGCAGTATACCAGAGGCAACCTGTTCCGCCAACAATCATGTTCATACTGCACGCTTCTGCATCAGTAAAGTGTCTTTCTAGGGGGAGTGCAACGGCAAGCTCAGGGAAATGATGATTGATTTGTAGTTATGAGCTTCCTCAATACTTTGTTGATTAGCTAGAGAAAGATGATGCCTTTTTAATGGATTATTTCTTAAATAATTGTGGCTGCCGCAAATCCCCAAATAAAAAAGGTACAATGCAATAGTGTGTAATAATACACATGGACATGTTTTATTTTACTCTTACTCTTTCCACAGGGAATGAAGGCGTGGCGTTCAGCCATTCTGTAGAGACGTCACATGTAAGGGCAGAACCGTTCCAAGACCTAAAGTAAGTTCTCACATTATGGGTGTGCGTCTGTGTGCGAGTCTGAGTGGGTGTTCAAGCCGACACAGTGGCTTGCTTCAAATTCCCCTTGTTGTTTTGCAGTAGAATATTTATTTTGTGTGTGTTTTTATGGATCATTTCTTAGTGACACCAAAGGAGAAGGAATGTTAATGCAGTAGAAATGAAGTTATCTTGCTGGTCCTTCATCAGCTCACTGACAGAGGGAACAATAGTGCTCTGGCTGTATGAGTCCTGGGCTGTAAGTGGAACCATTGAACAATTCATCCCCTTGAAGTTGTGTAGTCCTCGCTAGATTATTGCTTTCTATTATTTTACCAGAAGGGCTGATCTAATGTGTATTTATGATTCTTTATAACAAGTGTAGATGAAATCCAGCGTTCTGATTGGTTGAGAGTGAGTCACGGGAGGTAACTTATTGAGCGATAATGTACAGTTGCTGTTCACATTGACCCGAGTGTTCCGTATCACTGCGCACTCAAAGTAACAGGTTAGATTTTGCGCGACAGTTAGTTGACATTTCAGCTTTTAGCTCAGTGGCGATCGCCAAAATAAGACCAGGAAATCCCACAAATGATCGGTTTCAGGCAATGCGAGCTTTCACAACCGGACAATTAAGGCTGACGTCATGAGCGATGTGAATGAATGAGATGGTGCGAGATCTTGCAAGGAAACCCAATGCGGTTTACACGCACGTACGGGGACTATTTCTCTGGAGACTACTGAAATGCGATACGCAACATTTGGTGGCTAATACTATTTTGTGCTGAAAGGCAGCGATTTACCAGTTATAATTTCGCTGGTAACCGTATTGTAAAAGCAATAAGGTACTTGAGGCTGTACTTTATCTTCAATAATGCAACAGTTCGAGGGTTGATGGCCTCCGTGGCGCGACGGGCCTAACAACACCCTCAAACTTACATTATTGGACGATAAAGTACAGCCTCTCGTACCTTATTGCGTAAATAAGGAACAGTTTACATCAGACTCAGTAGATTTAAACGGTTGTGAGCAAATGAGGGCACGTCTTGTCAAAATGATAACTGATGAAAAAAATAGAGTTTTGCATGTTGGATGTCTCCCATGCACATGTAGGAGAGGAGAAGCTGACACACTGATGGAGGAAACCAAAAGGCGTGAAATGCTGTGTATAAAAGGAAAAGGTAAAGAGGGGAGGAAGAAGAAGATATAATTGACTGGATAGAGGGAGAGTAAGCAGGGTGGGAGTAAGGGTGATGAAGAGGACAATGAAAAGCTTGAGAAAAAAAAGAAGACAGCTGGGCAGAGGAGGGTGACTGAGGGAAAGAGTTCAGGAGGAGGGCACGTAAGTTAGTGTGAAGAAGAATAGATTTCAACCGGACGAGGAAGGGAGACTGAGAAGCAGCAACAGCACATAATGAGATGTAGAAAATATGAAAGAATGCGGATGCATAAACAGCCTCAGTTTATACCTTTGTGGTCATAAATAGGGACAATTAAGATGAAAGGACCACCTGTCGACTAAACAAGTTGTATAATTTGTTTGTTTTTCATCGGATTCTGTGAGAAGACACCTCATATCATTATGAATCTGAAATGTGACAAATTGTAAGACAGTGCTGTTGTCCTGATTTCTTCAGCCCTTCATTACGTTATTCAAGCTTGACAGCTGTGCTATCAGTCGCGCCAAGCTCTCCCTCTCTTAAACCTTTAAAAGCACCTTAATAGGGTCTGGAGGTGAATGAATAATGATGAATGCTTTTCTCATTGTGTCGTCCTGAATAAATCACCTGTTCAAGTTGATCCATAAATCAAGCAAATAGTTCTCATTACTGTCTAAACCAATAACTCCCCCATTTGTGCCACCTTTTTAGTTCGCCTACATTCCCACTACTTTCTTTCGTATTACCCATATAGCATCGCTTAATGAAGAGTCCAACAAGGGTAAAATATGTCAGGGGGGGGCCGTGTTTGCTCATTAATCCTAGACTTCTAATTGGCAAATCCTGTGTTTGAGTCCAGCGGGGGACATTTGTAAAAGGAGTTCTATTTCTGCAGTATTGTCCTTTTTTTTCTTCCTAGATTAGTCCAAGCAATTACCTTTAAAAGAAAAGAAAACTTTGTGTAAAATAGATTGAGAGAGAAATTGATATCACTGGGCACAGAGGTATGAAATGGTCATACGGAGAGATACGAAAGAATGCTTGAAAGCGAATCGGTAGAAAAAGACTGCTGAGCGATGAAAGGAGGAGAGGGAGGATGCGTCTCTAGTGAGGTCAGCTGAAGAAGAACCGAGAAGTGAGAGAGAGTTGTGGAGTTAGGTGAGGATGGAAGGATATGGGGTGGGAGGGAGGGCGGGAACATTGTGTCAGTGGACGGGTCAGTGGAGAGAAGGAAGGGGAGGAAACCCACGGTGAAGGAGACTAAAGAAAACGGGAAGCACTCCCGTGAATGTTGGTACCAACACATGACACAAGGTTTAAGACCGCTTCCTAACATGAACGCTTCTGGGGAGTTGAAGAAAACTAATTGGTGGGCAAATATAAAATTAACGATGCGCACACGCAAAGTACATCGTAATAATGTGCAAACATAAAATGAAGATACTGACACACCCATTAAATGCACACCTGCAAAGAACTTTTTTATGGCACACATGACGTGTGACCACTTTTCACCCCAAAAACAGCTGTGTCACTGCAAGAGTATGAATACAGAACGGCAAGAGACCTGCGTGGAGCCATCACACACACACACACACACACGTTGCACTGACCTCCCTGGGGGCGGGGTGAATAACAATAACACTGATAAAAAGACCATTACATGCTGCAGATGGCAGCCATTAGCTGTTAAATGGTTGGGAAAGAGAAACGGGCTGAAGCATAGTCCTTATCATGAGGATTTTGTTCTGTTTTAATTTGAGGTTTATTAGATGTTTTCAAGATTTAAAAAAAAGGTACAGTTTATCTTTTTATTTCTTTATTCACAGCCACGTTATTCAACCAAGATCAATGAATCCCTCTCTGCTGGGAATGTTCTATCTTTCCATCTGGCTCCTTTTTCTCGTGGTATCTTTGTTCTCATCTCCTCACTATCTGACTCTCTGTTGTTTACGCTTTTTATTCACACACTTTGTCATTCTGTCTAGAATCTGGATCTTCCCACGTGTGCATTTTCTATCTCCCCGTTCTTCTTCTGTCTCGTTATGAAAAGTAAAGCGTTATGCGGCGAGGTTTAATGGGACATGTAATGAGCGGATTGAAGTCATTTTAAAGCTAATGATCTATCTTACGGTTTAACGGCGAGCACGGGCGAGCAGGGAAGAGGGAAACGCAGAAAGTTTGATGCCATCTTCTTTACTTCATGAAATAGTCAAGAAATTCCGATCAGACACTTTACATTCGCACTTGGACAGAAACCAATGCTACTGTCCTGTCTTGGAGAAATATTATTTGCGAGACGCTAAGCTGCAAGATCAAACCTATGCAACAAGGTAGGAGCGACTTTAGGCAGGTTTGAAGATGCTCGATGTGCCGTCATAGTGACCAGAGAGGGAGGAAGTAAATATTTGTATTGCTCCGGGAGTCTTTCAGAAGCCACAGAGACATGAATGCAGAACACAAAGCTAGAACTGGGAAGCGTTGCACGAACACAGCAGCCTGCTTCCCGGAGAGCACTCGAGGAACGCGATGCCATTCATTTTCAAAGCCTCCGATGTGATCGCCTTTTTTGAAACTGCTTTTGCACTTTGTGTACGTGGAGCGGCTGGCGGGGCAGACAGAAAGCAGTCGCTTTGGAAAAAAGGGGATGTGCCTGGCATCTTTTTGAGCAGCGCATTTCAACATCTTAGAGAGAGTCCTTCATGACAGGTTGTTGACTACATAACATGAAAATAGAAGAAGAGATTGACAAAATGTAGGCACCCAAGCACCAGCAGCAACAAAGAGACTGAAAATAGCAGAAGTAACTGTAGAGAGTTGGTCCTGGATGTTCTGACTGAAGCAGTAGCAGTCAGTACAGTTTACTGATGCAGCGACAAAACTGCTTTTCATTATCAGCACAAAGTTAGGCCGAGGCAGAACTTCAACTACAGAAGCCACAATCGTGTGAGTGCAGCACTTTTCAGAGAAGCTGAAGATATGAAGTAGAAATGCAGAGACCAGGAGGTACGGGAGACACTGGTTTATTGCCAGGGACACAGCTATGGAGACAGTGGGGAATGGCAGGGACATCCAGGCAGGGAGCGGCAGACAGACGGGGGAACTGGGAGGAGGGATAAATTAAAGGACACAAACACACGGCCAGTATGAAGACAAACAAAAAACTTCTATTGCTGAAAACACTCTTCAAAAGAGCAGCCGAGCGCAGTCACTTCCAGGTAGGTTGGACAACGATCTGGGCCCCTTTCCTCGTACGTGGTTCAACTAAGTCAATCAAATGTCCCATTATACAGCTCAAATGAACGAGATGATTGATGTCAGGCTGTCTCGGTTCCTCAAAGGCGGATCCGCGCTCAAACAGTCTCGTTAATCTGAACCAGATGTCGGTCATCAGGATAATCGCGAATCGATCACCGACTTTAATGGGAAACGGCAAATAAACTAAGGAGACTCTTATTTCTCCGCTGATGAGCAGGAGATGATCATGAACGCATATGTGTATTTGAATCATTATTGTCTGATAAATTGAGGTTATTGTACATATTTCACGTTGTTTATTCTGTACATCCATCGCAGTCTTTTAATGTGTCTGCTTGCAGGAGACTTCATAGAATGCATCATCATCTAATGAGAATAATGATCACAACTCTGTCAGAATATGTAGATGAAAACAAGCCCAAAGAGTCTAATTAATAAGAATGAATAGGACATATGTATTGTATCAGCTTATGTATCTTGGATGGCCATGTAGAACTAGGAGTTTTATGTGTGTGTGAGAATGAGTATATATCTGTTACTCATAATCAGAAATTTCCAGATGTTCTCTGCATCGCAACACTGTAC